GTAGATACTGACAGGCATATGCAGAATAGATAAACAAGATTATACTGTATAGCAGAGGGAAATATATACAAGATCTTGTGGTAGCTCACAGTGAAAAAAAAATGTGACAATGAATATATGTATTTTCATGTATAACTGAAAAATTGTGTTCTACACTGGAATTTGATACATTGTAAAATGACTATAATGCAATAAAAAAAGTTAAAAAATAATTACTATAAATGTCAATGGACTAAATGCTCCAATCAAAAGACATACAGTGGCAGATTAGATAATAAAACAAAAGCCTACAATATGTTGCCTATAAGAGACCCATTTTAAAGTGAAGGACACACATAGATTGAAAGTGAGAGGACAGAAAAAGATATTTCATGCAAATGGAAATGCACCTCAATGTTCACAGCAGCACTATTTACAATAGCAACCTAAATGTCCATTGACAAATGACTGGATAAAGAAGCTGTGATATATTTATACAATGGAATACTACTCAACCATAAAAATACAAGATAATGTCATTTGCAGCAACATGGACCTGGATAATGTCATTCTAAGTGAAGTAAGCCAGAAAGAGAAAGAAAAATACCATATGATATCACTCATATATGGAATCTAAAAAAAAAAAAAAAGGACAAACTTATTTACAAAAGAGAAACAGATTTACATACATAGAAAACAAACTTATGGTTACCAGTGGTCAGTGGGGAAGAGGTGGGATGGGATAAATTGGGAGTTCAAGATTTGCAGATACTAACTACTATATATAAAATTGATAAACAAATTTATACTGTATAGCATAGGGAACTATATTCAATACCTTATAGTAACTTACGTTGAAAAAGAATATGAAAATGAATATATGTATGCCCATGTATGACTGAAGCATTGTGCTATGCACCAGAGATTGACACAACATTATAAACTGACTATACTTCAATAAAATATATATATTAAAAAGTAGATAATGGTATCATCATCAAGAAGTCTACAAAAAATATGATGGAGAGGGTGTGGAGAAAAGGAAGCCCTCCTACACTGAGACTGTAAATTGGTGCAGCCACTATGGAAAACAGTATGGAGGTTTTAAAAAACTAAAAATAGACTTACCATATGATCCAGCAATCCCACTCCTGGGCATATATCCAAAAAAGATGAAATTTTTAATTCAAAAAGACACATGTACCCTAATGTTCATACCAGCACTATTTACGATAGCTAAGACATGGAAGCAATCTGTGTGTCCATTGACAGATGACTGGATAAAGAAGATATGGCATTATATAGTATTCCATTATATATGTGTGTATATATATATATACACACATGCTACTCAGCCATAAAAAAGAATGAAATAATGCCATTTGCAGCAAAATGGATGAACCTAGAGATTATCATACTAAGTGAAGTAAGTCAAAGAAAGACAGTATTATGTATCATTTATATGTGGAATCTAAAAAAGTAGTATAAATGAACTTATTTACAAAAACAGAAAAAAACTCACAGACATACACAACAAACTTACCATTAGCAAAAGGGAAGGGAGGGGAGGGATAAATTGGGAGTATGGGATTAACAGATGCACACGACCATATGTAAAATAGATAAACAACAAGGATTTACTCTATAGCACAGGGAGCTATATTTGACATCTTGCAATAAACTATGATAGAAAAGAACTGAAAAAAAAGACTATAGATATGTACATATATATGTATAATGGAATCCCTTTGCTGTACGATTTGTAAATCAATTATACTTCAAAAAAAAAAAAGAGAGAGAAAGAAATGGACAGTTGTGGAAGGAAATGTGAAGACCGGGTGTGGTCCTTCAACCAACTTCCGTGACAAGGGTTATACTTCATTTCATTAATTTCCCTCTTATAAGTTTCCTTTCAGGAAGAGGGACTTATCAAAGTCCTGAAAAAGTTGTTTCCTGAGTACAGATGGAGAAACAGATCCACGTGGCACAAAGGATAGACTAGAATGAATACAGGGTGTCATTCAGATTTCCCTTCAAGCCAGGGCTTGCTGTCCAGCTGCAAGGAGTGTGTTTAGTGATAGCCTCCAGCTCCTTCAGGATTCGCCCCAGTGACTGAGCTGAAGTCATGCTCTTTTCCAGTGGCCCCTGCCAATGACCTACCAAGGCAGTGGTACAAGGGCCTAGGCTTTTCTGCCCAAGGCTAGACTCCTGCTCCCACTAGGCACAGAGACTCTGTCAGGTCTGCATTGCAGTCAGAGAGCTCCTACACACCACTCCTGCTTTCTCCCTGGACTTTCTCTGGTGTTACACTCCAGGAAATCTTCTGTACTCTTAACTCCATATCAGTGCTTCCAGGAGAACCCAACCTGTGACAACACAAATTTCTTAAACGTCTGCTTTTCCTCCTTTCCACAACTCCTTACATTGTTTCTCAGGACCTTAAATGGAGGGGAATTTTGCATGTCTATTCCTAATCACTCTAGCCCATCCAGGCTCCTATGCAGCATTCTACCTGTTGCAGCATTTAACCACAGATTCCCTTCTGTTTTACTGTCTTTTCATGTCTTCCCAAACATAAGCTCCTTGAATGCAGGGACTATTTCTTAAATTTCTGTATGTTCGGAGTGACTAGCTAATGTAAGAAGATCCTATGGTGAATTTAATTGATTTGTTATTGAAAGCCCAGTCCCTGGGAACCTGTAAGACCACAAATCAGGCCAAGTGGATTAACAGCAACTGTAAAGTAATACCTAGAGGGAACAAGAAGTCGGATGATCTGACCTGGATGGGACCCAGCTTTGGCTGGTTTTCATACCGAAGTACTCTATTCCCGAGAGACAGTTGATCAACCATGAATTACCAATCTAAGGAGAATTCCCATTAATCATTTTGAAGACTTTCTGGTTTGACAACTGATCAATGACCCATTTATTTCTCTTGGGAGTATTAGGAGGAAAACCTTTTCCTCTTTCAACTTGTGTCCAGTGATTGGGGCCTGCAAATTAACTGACGATAGGCCTACCAACAGGAGAAAAGACAGATTTATTTGCCATTGGAATGAGGGAAATTTTCAATCATGGAACCCTCCTGGAACAGCCAGAGGTAACTTTATGTATTTCAATTTAACAAAAGGAGTTTTGTTTTTTTTTAAAAGGACTTCAGTGGGAGGGTATGGAAGGTTCTATTGGTTTTTTTTTATTTTTTGATGCTAATGGCAATGGGTATCCTGTCTCCAGGGCAACTGAATAAGCAGGAAACTCCCTTGGAAGGGGGTTAAAGGTAGCTATATTTTCTGGAGGCTCTGCTTTAGTCAGATTAAGAGAAACTGAGATAAAATTTCTTTTTGCATCTCCAGCAGATCAAACGTATTCACTATAAAATAATCTTTATACCAGCCCTGGGGGTCCACGTGGGTACCCACAGGAGGAACAGATCTTGTCCAGGTGTCCAAAGGGAGAAACCTGTCTGAAGTCTCAGGATATGTCCAAGTATGCCCCACTGTGACTGATGGCTATCAGGGATTAAGCGGTGTCGGGGCACCTCTGTCAGCGATTGTAGACAGGCAAGAATGTGTCAAGAAGTGGTTCTTCAATAAGCTCATGAGAAAGCAAAGAAGACGGAGAGCGATAATTCTTATTCTTTGAGAAGGCAGGGTGGTGTGGGAGAAAGTGCACATTGATCCTGGCCAGGCGGACCACTATCTGGAGCCTGGGGGCCAGGTCTGGGGAATCTCGGGTAGCATGCCAGCTCCAGCTTGACGGCTATGTTTGCTCAAGTTACTTCCCCAAGTAGAGTGAGGATAACAATATCTAACTCGTGGAATTGTTGCGAAGATTCACTAACACCTGAGGCAGGGCGCCCAGCTCGGAGCAAGCGCTCACTTGGGTCTGTTCTTTCCGGAACGGGTCGGGTGGGGAACAGAGGATTTCTCAAGGGAGTTCCCAAGAAGCGTCATTCGCCACTTTGGCTGACGTATAAAAACTCCACCAGAGCCCCAAGATCATTTTTAGTTTCTCTTCTTTCCGAAGAAGCATCGCTGTCCCCGGCTGGGGAGCCTGACCCTCGCCGAGCCTAGGACCAAGAGGGAGCCATCTGGCGGTCTCCGCGGTCGCCGGCCGATTAGCCCGCGCTTGTTCGCTCTCTTTCCATTCGATCGTGGTTGCGATTGACTTTAAATCTGACACAGGGACCGGGTGGATGAGATCTGGCCTCTCGACCCAAGGCTAGTAGGAAACCGAAACCGCTGGGCTCAGCTAACGGCGACGGAGAGCGCACGCTCGCTCCAGGCGCGCCCAGTCCGACACCGCCCGCGCCCGCCCCCGGGACTCCAGTAAGTTTCGATTCTCTCTGGATTCGAGTCCCGAGCGGCGGCCAGGCCAGCGCAGCGCGCCATGGCAGACCCGGGGGTGTGCTCCTTCATCACCAAAGTCCTGTGCGCTCACGGGGGCCGCATGGCCCTGGACGCGCTGCTCCAGGAGATCCAGCTCTCCGAGGCGCAGCTCTGCGAGGTGCTGGAGGCGGCCGGGCCCGATCGCTTCGTGGTGTTGGAGACCGGCAGCAAGGAAGGGGTCACCCGATACGTGCTGGCCACCACTCGAGCCCGGGTCTGCCGTCGCAAGTACTGCGACAGACCGTGCGAAAACCTGCACCTCTGCAAGCTCAACCTGCTGGGCCGCTGCCACTACTCGCAGTCGGAGCGGTGAGTGCACGGAGCCGGAGGGGCGGCTCCCGGGTCCGGGTCCGGGAGGACCGTCGTGGCGGGGGCGGCTCCGGGTAGGGGCGCGCCCTCGAGGGGGCCTCGCACTCGATAGCCTCTTTCCTCCTGCCTCTCACTTCTCTGCTCCCCTTCTGGCTGAGTCGGGGCTTCTCTCGGAGGTTCCGTTCCCTCCAGCGCCTTAACACTTTTCTTCGAATATGGCTAGCGCGCTATTGCTCCGGTGAAGACTACGATTAACTCCCCACCTCCGTAAGAATGTAGTAGTTTGGGAAATCCAAGGAAGGCCTAGAGACTTTGGAGGCAGGTTTGGGAAGGAAAGAAAATGCCTCCGCTCTGTGGAATCCTGGCTCTCCCACTCTGCCACCTCCCCGCCCCCCGCAGGCGTTCCGTGGTCTTCCCTGCAGTCGGATGTGCCTTCATCACGGGGAGCTGCGGGTCTCTGCTTGGCCCTCCATTCCTGGCCGCCTCCTTTCCCCTCTCACTTTTCTGACGTCGGTCCGCACCACCAGACCAGAATGTCCTAGTCAGGGTTACCAATGATGGGTCCTCTCCCAGAGCCCCTTCCCCGCGGTCCCCGCAGTGGCCCGCACCGCTGACCGCCCACTCGCGGAGCCGGGAGGCGTACCCCCCAGGCAGGTCCTTCTGTATTTCCACTTGTTCTCTTCCGCCTCCTGAATATAGGTATGCCTCAAGGTTTGGGTTAAGCCTTTTGATAACTTGGAGACCTGCCTTCCAAGTCTCTCCCTGAGAGCGCTCACTTCCTTGGGTTCAGTTGTCACGTCTACAAAGATGGCCTCCTTATGTACACCCGCTGCCCGGGCCGTCCTGGTTTTTCTGCTCCCGGCGTCTGAGGAGCAGCTGGACCTGAATATCCTGCCAATATGGGTCAAACTCATCTTCTTCCCACCAGGGTTGGGTCTCTGACACTCCTCCTCAACCTCTTCTTTCTCCGTCACAATGCCTTAACCACCAAGTCCTTTATTGACGTGTCCCGTCCCTTTCCTGTCTGGTTCTTGCTTATCATCCTTCTTTTAAATAAATGCCTTGGTGGATTAATGAATGATTTTCTCCGACTATAGTCTTTCTCCCAATCTTTTCTATCCGTATGTGCTTCTGCTAAATTATTTTTCTTGGTGTAGTAGTTTTTACACTTCGCCCTTTCTTAAAAATCGTTAAGTGGTGTCAGTGTCCAAAATGGTGGTCATCAGACTTTTTCAGCGTGCACTTATTAGCAATTAACTTTCGATCACTCATTCCCAATATTTTTGTGATAAAACATACAAAAGATCAATATTTTAAATGAGTGAGGTAGGTGAGATAATTAAAATTTTTTTTGTTTAGATAAAAACTAAAATTTAAAACACATGCTCCGTTGTTGTTAAAAAAAATATTGAGTATGTTATGAGGCAATGATTTGAAAGTGTTTCTGAGTTTCAGGAAGTTACGTGTGTGGAAGGAGTCATCTAAGTCAGCAACAGATGAAACCAGGAAGGAGGAAAGGAGGGAAGTAAGAAAAAGGACCATTCTAGCACTGTACCAAATAAAAAAGGAGATGGAAAGCGTTGTTGTCTTTCCTATTCTGTTGTGAAAAATTCTTCACCAGTTAGTGTTGGCTTTTAGTTTTAAATACATATGCTCCTTATCTTTTAGTTTTTCACTATATTTTCAGTCTTACTAAGGTAGAGAAAAGAGGATGATTAACCCCCATATGCCCATAGTTTCTGTTGAATAGTTTTCAAAATACGGCCAGTCTTGTTTTATTCTCCCCTCCCCAACCCTGTCCCCAACTCCAATGTATTATTTAAAAACCAAATACCAGAGATTATTTGCTTTGTAAATACTTCAGTATCTCTAAAAATTAAGGACTATTTTATTGATATAATCACAGTGCAATGATCACTTTTTTTTTCAGTTACAACTTTAATATCGTAATATCCAGCTGGTGTTTAAATTTCTCTGCCTTATAATCTGACTTGCATTTTCAGGAAAAAAACCCTACACATATATAATCTATAACTGTTTCACAATGTGACCCATCTAACATATTTAGAACCTTTGTTGTATACAATATGCTTAGATACCTTAGTTTTTTGTATTATTTTTATTTTGTTATTGTTAGTTTGAAACATCAAAACCATTTAAAACTCATAAATTAGATAGTTAACCCTCACTTTTCTATATTTTAAAAGAGTACGTATAGGGATAATTTGGTCTATCCAAGTTTGGATGGATTCTCTGGGGAATTCATTGAAGTCTTATTTGTTTTAGTTGACTGATAAGTTCTTATTTCTCACATTTATTGACCTAGTCATATTTTTTATTTCCCTTTTTATCACTTTTGAGTTTGGGAATTACGAATTTTTAATCCATTAGTATCTGTTGTGTCTTCATAATAAAGACCCTTGGGAGAATTTTTTTCTTTTGGCTCAAAGCCTAGAAAATACGGTTTTTCCCCCAAGTATGTTTTAAAAATATTCTCCTCTTCTTAGCAGATTATAAAACCTTGTCTTCTAAAACTTGACATGTGGGGGTGAAGACTTTCTTTGCGAATTACACGTTGATGGGATCTGTTGATCAATTGATACCCACACTGAGATTATTGATCCATTTAGTAAACTGTTCTCTGTGTAAGGACCGATTGCCTTTTGCTGGACTTCTAAAATTTCCTCTGTAGTACTAGTATTTAAAGATGGGATTTCTCCTATCAATTCTGCAGTTCCCATCTTTTCTCTTGCGTTGCTTTTAGCTATACATTTTAGTTGATAACAGGGCTTGCTTCAGTTTTGGATAATTATTTGTTCTGGTGCATCAATTTGAGTATTATTTCTTTGCTGAAATATATGCTCACATGTGGAGTTCTAATCCCAGGTCTGACAGAAATAATAACTACCATTTGCTGAGCAAATAACTGAACTACTAAGCACTATGGTAAGCACTTTAGGGGTGGTATCCATGAATACCATGATTCTTGAAGGAAGTGTTATAAGTCCCATCTTAACGTAAGGAAACTCAGGCCTAGAGCTATTTAGAATTTTACGAAAGGCTCACATAGCAAATAGCTGGCAAAGTTAGTGTTGGACTCAGATCTGCATGACTTCTTAACGTAGCTACTTGTGCTGTCAAGTAGTAGCTGTTTGAAGTGTCATCTTTTATTAACTCAAGTTCAAGATATGTTTTTTGCAACCATGATTTCTGTTTAACTGTTGAAAGCAGGCTCTCTGAGTGTCTTCAACTAGCTTTGTGGTTTCTGCTAATGTGGGTGTTTCCTCCTGGCTCTTTCCTGTTTGTATGCTTTTCCCGTTTGCTTAGTTGAAACTTTGGGTGGGGGTGGGTAGATGCAAAGAGAATTAGTTGACTATTTCATAAATCGAAGGGAAAAAAAAACCCAAAGTGCAAAGAATAGTATAACAAGCATCAGAGTATATGTATTCTGAGTATATAACATACAAAAGTTAAACTATATCAAAGAATATATAGTATAATAAGCTTATAACTCACCCCTCTGAAAAATGTTTACATTTTTGCTTCTTTTATTTAAAAGTAAAATAAAAATCATAATAGGCCTAAGGTTATTGTTTTTTTCTCTTCCTTATTTTGACTCCCTTCTTTCCCCAGAAGCAATCCAGTCATGATTTTGGTGTGTATCCTGCCCTTCTGTGATTTTGTAATTTCCTTTCGTATTTATATTCATATACAAAATGTAGTATTGTTTTATGTGTTTTAGAATTTTTACTCAGTGTTATGTTTTGAAGATCTATTCGTGTTAATAGGATCTAGTTTGTTCATTTTAACAGCTGTGTAGTATTTCATCATATGATTTATGCCATAATTCAGTACCTATTCCTGCAATAAGGGGCATTTGAAATAGTTCCAGTTTTTTTGCTACAACAAATCAAGTTGCCAAAAATATACGTGTCTCTTGGTGCTCATGGCAAGAACTTCTCCAGGGTAGAGCATTAGGAAATGAAATTGCTGGGTTGAATGGTTGCACAACTTCAGCTTTTCCAGGTTCTGACAAATTAATGTTGTTTTTTGTTTTGTTTTGTTTTTTGAGTGAAGGTAGATTTATTCAGAGAGATACATTGAAAGGCAAGAGAAAGGCAACAAGGTGTGGGGGTTGGGTGCTCAGTTTAAAAGTAGGTACACATTCCGGAGATAGAATGCAGGCCGTCTCAGAAGAGGGAGAGAGAGAGGGGTGGCCTGAGGCGCCGTATTGCTGCTTTTTATGGGCTTGGTGGCTTCATATGCTCAAAAGTAGAAAGACCAGTCTTTGGGGAAGGGGCTGGGGTTCCCAGGAAGTTGGCCATTTCCCAACCTTTGACCTTTTGTGGCTAGCCTTGGGACTGCTATGGTGCCCGTGGGCGTGTTATTCACCATGTTAATATATTATAATGAGTGTATAATGAAGCTCAAGATCTGCTAGAACTTAAATCTCTTCATTTTGTGCCTCAAGGCCTACTGGGGGTTGAATCTTTGACCATTTTGATGTTAATTGCTGTGGCATTCCTTGAATGGCTGTGCCCTGCCCTCTTCCATCCTGTCTCATTCCCCTCTTAAGAGAGTTTACTCCCATAATCTTATGGGGTTGCAGAGGGGCGAAGGTTCATCTTCTGAAACTACTTCCAGGCTGAGTAGGGGTGTTGACCCAGGCTATCAGGGAGTAAAAATCTCTGAATGCCTAATCTAGGGGCCCCAGGTGCAGGACAGCCTTTTGTTTTTGCATCCAAGTGCAGTATGGACTAGAATCTTCACATAGCCGATCACATAGCCATTATCTTGATGTGGAACTTTTGTAACCGCTTTCATAATTTTCTTATGAATCTTCTTGATGATGGAGCACCTTTGTAACAGCAGTTTAACACTCTATAACGACAAAAGACCAATCAGGTTGCCAATTACTTGCCACGTGCTCTTAATTTGGATGTCGGAGTGGTCGCCTTGGTGGCTCTTCTCCAGTCCGAAGAGATAGAGCGATAGAGGAG